GAAACACTGGCCTGAGAGTGCTCCAACTGGAGAACAGCCTTTAGCAAAGGTGTCATGGGTTTTTTGAAATATATAAAAAAATTTAAAAATTGTCCAGTAGCACCTTAGAGACCAACAAAGTTGCACACTTCTTCAGATACACTGAAACAGAAGTCACCAGACCCTAATATAGTGGGAGGGTGGGGTGGGGGTTTTCTCAGGAGGGTAGTAGGAGATGGGTGATTGACTCAATGGGTATGGTAAACCTGTTGACGTTAACAACTGCAATTAGTCCTACAGGAAAAGCAAGGGGTAGTATGCAGATGATTAGCATATGTAATGAGACAGGGCTTTGAAGGCTCAGGATGAAAGGGAGAAAGTGCTAAGAGGAAGGAACGCTTGGCAAACCCTCACCATGATCAGCTCCCACCTGGAAACAAATGTCCTCACTGTGAAAGGACGTGTGGATCCAGAATTGGCCTCCACAGTCACTTATGGACTCACTGTTAAAACTGTGTTTATGAAAGACAATCTTACGCAGCTTCACCAAATAAGAAGAAGAAGAAGAAGAAGTTGTGCATAATATGGAGGACACAAATGCACACAAATTGTACTTCCAAAAACCTTGTAGCAACAGAGAACTTCCATCCATGTTTATATAACATTGGATTCCTGACTCTATGAGCACATTACGGATTGTGAAGGGGTCTGTTTGCTCATCGCTAGCTCAAGGCTCTGCGTTCTGTTCACACAGAGTGACAGTGAAGCACAAGGGGCCTGGTCAGACATTCTGGGAACAGAATGTGCTCCTTCAAGACTTTCCTTCAAGACTTTCCCTGTGCAAACGCGCAGGGATTTCCTTGACAGAGACGGCAAAGCCAAAACTTGTGAAAACTATTGTTTAAAAATGCGTGGAGAAGCCTGGGCTTGCAAGGCAAACTTGTTCCCTCCCTTCGCTTTTGATAAAGACAGTGGGAGAGGTATGGATTAAGCTGTAAGTGTAAGTGAGGTAAGATTTTTATAGGTGGAACTGCCTCCCCGCCTCTCCAGCTAGCAAGAAGCCACAGATAAAGGCGGAACAACCTGGCCTCCTGAGGGTGACGGTGCCCCAACCAGGGAGGTCAGCCAGAAATCGTGCCATGTGCACATATGGGTGTACACTCTCCAATTGTACCTGCTCAATAGTTGCTGCCCTGTTCTCTCACACACACTGTGTACTGGATGCTGGCATTCATGCAATGTGTGCCTAATCCTGCTGCTTACTTGCTAAGCATACGGTACTTCTTGTCTGGCTGGCATAGCATCGCCCATAGAGACAAGAGAAATGTTCCTGTTTCATGTGAGCATGCTTCCCTTGGCTGATAAGGCTATGTGTATTATTTTGAAGTTCATCATTCAAAAATTCTTTGGCAGGGGCCCATGGGAGCGGCCCACACATTTGGCTTACTCACACTCTCATACTGCGTAAGCCTTGTTCACTTGATATAAAATAAGCATTTCCCTCTGACGAATGTTGAAGAAAGGGATGTAAGGCAGGGAGTGGCATTAAGACTCCCACCAACAATATCCCTCAGTTCACTCATTTGCTTTTAACCATATGAAAAGATTATGATACTAAGATTCAGATTACTATAAACCTTTGAGGTTCAATCTCAGATCCGATCCATTCCACCACAGGGCACCCATCAGAGATGATTACTAGCTCCAGCATTGTTTAATTCATGATTTTATTTTATTTTATTTTATTTTATTTTATTTTATTTTATTATTTTATTTTATTTTATTTTATTTTATATACTGCTCTTCATCACAAGATCTCAGGACGTTTCACAGGATAAAAATACAAGGTAAAGGTACAAGTAAATAGTTAAAACAAAAACAGCAAAACATTTATGTCAATCCTTTAATAACTGATTTAAGTAACAATAATAGAAGAAGAAGAAGAGTTTGGATTTGATATACCACTTTATCACTACCCAAAGGAGTCTCAAAGTGGCTAATATTCTCCTTTCCCTTCCTCCCCCACAACAAATACTCTGTGAGGTGAGTGGAGCTGAGAGACTTCAGAGAAGTGTGACTAGCCCAAGGTCACTCAGCAACTGCATGTGGAGGAGTAGGGACGCGAACCCGGATCCCCAGATTACGAGTCCACTGCTCTTAATCACTACACCACAAAAAATGGGAATCCAGGAGAGTTGCAGTACTTATGTATGTTAATGACACTATTTTATTTTCTCAAACCCAGAAAGGGTTAAGAAGACTTTTGAAATCTCTTTATCAATTGGTAGAGCAAGAAAAACTAAACATTAATTAGGAAAAGACAAAAGTTTTCGTTTTTGCTAATAGATTTTTGAAAAACACAAGCGGCAAATTGATGGGCACCCCATTGAGCAGGTGAAATCCTTTAAATATCTGGGTTTATGCTTTTCTTCAGATGGGAATTATAAGAAGCACTTTGTGAATACAATTAAATTGGCTACTAATGCTGTGAACACTTTATTGAGGTTCTGCTGGAGTAAATGTGGTAGGCAGATTCCTCCAGCCCTCAAAATTTATGAAGCCAGAGTCATCCCACCAATCTGTTATGACACACAAATATGGGGACCTAAAAGCAGGCAGGAGCCAGAGAGAGAGAGAGATCCTTGATTTCTGATTGAATCCTAAAGCCTCTTGGGGTGTTAATGCTGTGAGTCCCTCCATCGTAGGCTCAGGTTATATATGTGTGTGTGTAAATAAACCATACCTGGTGAAGACATCACAGTATCTGCTGTCCCCCATTCTGAGGAAACTGAACCCTGCGTAAGAGCCTGGAACCACTGGAATCTCACACTGCTCAGAGATTGGGGTGGCATGCAACAATATTTTGGGTGGGGAAGGGAGATGAAAGGCAGGCAAAGGGCAGGATGGATTGCACCGGATTAGCTGCACAAATTCCACCCAGCCACCCTCTCCAAGAGGCAATCAAATAAACACAGAACTGCACTTGAAAGATTTCTGAGTATTTATCAGCTGACTAGCTGCCTTGCTTTCAAAAAAACATTTGCAACCAATGTTTTCGGTTTCAGGGCACACATTTTCCCCTTGTGTCATTTTTTTTTTTAATACAATGCTTCCCTATTTGAACAGCCTGTTAACTCGTTTTCTTGAACTTCTCTGGTTCTTGGTTTCTGTACACAAAGAGTTCAGTCCAAGCCTGAAGTGAACTAAATCTTCCATATGTTCTCTTCATTACTTCTTTTCTCAAATATCGCCTATTCCTTCAGTTCTATTATCTCTCATTTGGCTTGAAAGCCTCCTGGAGACGAAAAGTGTTGCTTCTCTGCTCAGACCAGCTCTTGCTACAGTCAATAACCATAGTACAGTCAATAAATCTTCAGTACTCCTTAGAGAGGTAGTAATAGCTCAAAGTGCATAAAAGAGTCCCCGGATAATGAAGGACTCTTTCCCTTGCCTCCGTTTCCTTTGTCTTTGTCTCATGCTGCCCTGTTTGGGTGACATTTTTCTCCCCTCCAAAAGAACCTTCTCACAGGAGGGTATACAGTATGTCATTTGTCAACATTAGGCAACATGCTAACAGCAGCTCACCCTGTGCAGTTAGAATATTTATGACCGTTCCATCACTTCTCTGCAGTTCCGTTTGAAACCAGAGGGACACACAGACAAATCAAGTGTGCATCACTCTCTAAATACAGTAGAGATCTCAAAGATCCTCTATGAATAGTGTAATGGAAGAGGGCAAAGAATGTTTTGCTCTTGTCTACAGCTGGCAGCATCCAGCTTACCTGTCCTTGGAGACCCAAGCAGCTTGTTTTTCTACGCCAGACCCCAGCATAGGCACACAAGCAGTATGAAACCAAAATGGTCTAGCCACATGAGAAGAAAAGTCCGAGAGTCTGGAAGAAATGCACATAAGACCCCCCAACACCAATTTTATGACAGGAGGGAAAAGGGGAAAGTAGAATGGTACTTTAAAATGTGAGGGGGGGTGAATCAGGTCCAATTGCAGCGGCTTACAAAAAGGTTCCTCACATATACTGAACTTTATGGTCTGTTGAGAAAGGTTGAAGGACAAATGGCTATGTGGCAGAAGTTCACTTTTAAGATTCTTGGCCAAGGTGGGTCTTGATTGGCGGGTGACATTGCCCAGTCACTCACAAGGCAGTCAGTAGCCAGGAGGGTTAAATATACTCTCTGTTCCTGTTTTTGAAAATGCATTTAAAAAAAAAAAAAAAAGATGAAGGCCACTATGGTAGACATTTGGCTGGCTGTTCTGTATTGACCTGGCAAATTGTATTTTGGGTGTGCCTTGGGGGAAATGTTTTGTTACTAGGTCTTCTGTGCCATGATGGTCTTGTAGAGTAGAGCTGTGGTTATCAGACTTCCTATCTTACTGCTCCACTGCACACTGAAGGGTTTACTAGGGAGCCCCAGCCCATTACAAAGGTTTGAGGATGTGTTCTGAGCTATTGTGAAGTCTTATTCGAGGTGGTGGGAGTGGATTGACAGGCCATAAACTAAATGAAATGTCATATGGACCACAGACTAGGACACATATTAAGGCACATGCTCAGTTTCTGGATGGCACTGGCCAAGACTCTCAACAACCTGTGAGAAATGAGAGTGTTCCTTTGAGCACCTCCCCTACATTGCCTAAGAACAACCCCCTGCAGTCCTTCATTGCAAAGGAAGATCAACAGTCATGGGCAATCTGTCTTTCGTGGACTGTGTTCACCACTGCTCTCCTGCTCACGGAGAAATCTCTGAGAAATTTCCAAGGAACCCTGGGATCCCCCAAAAGCACAGTATGAAAGCAACTGCGTCTGTCAAGAGGAGGGAAGATGGGATTTTGTGCTTCTTCTAAGCTCTTTCAGCTGTCATTCAATGAGCTAATCACCACCGGTCTGCCTGAATGTAAATATGCTTTCAAACATTAGACAGATGAGCATGCTCTATTGTCTCTTACCTAATTACCTGTTTAAAGTGCCACATAGCTCAGAGGGAAATAAACAATTAAATGATGGCTGGCCATTTGCCTGCAAGGAAAATAGAGGTTGCTGAGGAAAAAATCAGAGAGACACAGCTGAAAGCAAATCTTTTAAAAGCAGTCACATATAAGGAGGCAGAATAGCTTCGAAGCACAGTCAAGAGGAAGATCTAAGATGTGTGTGTGCTCATTCGTGTGCAGACTATGTCTTCATCTTTCATCTTTTCGGAGCACTTAGCAGAAGTGCAATTTTCTTGGGCTGAAATAATTATGTAAAGATTGAAAACGTGGATCACCCCTAATCTGAGAACTTCCTTCCTTAGAATTAACTGAAGCATTATAGATAAAAATTTGAAGTCGGTAGCATCTTCCCCCTGAACATGATACTGCAGTTCTAGAATTCACACCATAATATAACAAAATGCAGTATGAGAAATAAAAGCAAGAAAATACAGAAACATATATTAATATTTAATACAATGGATATGCCATCTCCCATCTTCAACCACAAGTCCATATGCAAATGCAGACCACCATGAGGCTGGTGGATCACAGTTTGGGGACCACTGCAATAGACTATTCAAAAGTTCTAATCTGTGCTTTAAATTTAAAAAAAGGTTGTGCATCTACTGCACATTTCGACTAAGGGTATGGTCTGGACTAATTAAAATAATTATCTTGTCAATCATCCAAGACGCCACTCTTCCTCTCCTTTTTTCCAGGAAACCTTCCATTCATTTCTGTACACAGAGCATCTCAGTCCACAAAGGAGTTTTGTTTCATTCTGAGAAAGTGAAAATATATAAAGAAACTGCAGCAGCAGTCTTAGACAGCACAATTTTACATATCCCTTTTCTAGGACACACATCTGAACACTAAAGAGAAGGAGAACAGTCTTCACTCAGTTATACTTAAAAGGTAAATCATCATAGTTTTTAGCATGTACACAGTGCCCAAAGCACTTGGCAACTATTACGTTGCTAATCTTATAATTCTTATAAGATGCTTTTCCCATATTAAAGAAAGGGGTCACAGACACTGAGCAACAGGAACTCGCCTAAGGTAAACTTGTGAACAAAGTGAGATTTCAGCCAGAGGTGGCGCAGTTTCTTAGGGCTACACTAGCCAAAATATTGTTTATTTAAAGAATTTAAAGGAAAATATCTAACTGGTGAACAAGGAAATTGAAAAATACAAGAGATAAAAAAACAGTAAAAAACACAAAATTATATGTACAATAAAAATTATTCATTGTAGATTGCATGGGCTGCAGACTAAAAACTAAAACGTATCGGTAGATACAAAGATAAGGAAAAAAAGAGGGTTTTCAGAAGAGCCATACTACAAACATTCACTTTGATTTAGTGGAAGTAGAATTTGCCAAATGGTTTAGGGGAAGTATTGATTTATCATATACAAAAGACTAGTTTGGCTTGGGGTTCATTCATAATTGTTACTTGCTTCTGCGGAGTGGATTGTCACCAGATCATGTGATCATATAGCTACATATACTCAGGGATCATATAGCTACATTCTATAGCATTCACCACGCAGTAATTTAATTTTAAGACCCAATAGTTGTCATTTGGCATTGCTCAAGCAAAGCACAGGGATCTCCAGCCTTTTAGGCCACCTTTAACCCCAAACTTGCATATGGGATTCCTGTTTCATGTTTTCTTCCTCTTCTCCCCCATCCATATCTTTATTCCTCTCTCTTATGAACTCTACTTCACCTTAGCCCTTTCTGTCCCCAAAAAGATCCCAGTGCTGATAGGACAAGCCACCTGAACTAAGGTTGCAGGACATCAGTTGCAGGTCGATGTTCGCTAGTTAATTATCTATAGACATCACTTAGAAGTAGGCTTGTGGTTATGAAGAGGTAATCAGAAGAGCACAGCAATAATATGTCCCGAGTGTATAAGCCCTCTGTCTTAGGTGACGTTATCCACACAGTTTAGTACAAATGGAACTACAGTGGTACCTCCGTATAAGTCCGCCCTGTCCAGCGTCCATTTCGGTGGGCATCCACGGCAAACCCGGAAGTACCGGAACAGGTTACTTCCAGGTTTGCTGCTCGTGCATGCGCAGAAGCGCAAACCACTCCACGCACATGCACAGAGTGGTGCTTTGTCGAGCGTCCGGGGCTCCAGAATGGATCCCAGACTCATAACAAGGTACCGTACCACTGTAAATCCTTAACTGCTCAAGGACATATTGTAGCATGAAAAATGCTCCGTTGGTTAGAGCATGGTTGCAGGTTTGATCCATGTATGGGATAGGTGCATATTCCTGCATTGCAGGGGGTTGGACAAGATGGTCCTCAGGGTTCGTTCCAACTCCTACAATTCTATGATTCAGAAGCAAGATCTATTGTGACCATATAGAAGCCGGACGGGAAGCTGAATTTTATTTCATTGCTGGCAATGGGACAATCTTCTCCACTGCATCTGAGGTCTGCAAACTAGCTCATAGGGTACAGGGCAGGCCGTGTCGCACACATGGCTGTGCTCCAACACCTCACTGCAACTTGCTCACTACTCTGCATGGCTATAGTGCAGTATCTGTGGCACCAGTGTGTGTCATGTGAGTGGAGCAACGCATGTACAAGCATCACTGCCGTTTGGGCACCGGTTCAGGAGGACAGGAACATGTGCAGGACTCAGAGGAAACAGCTTGTGGGACTCCTATCACACAGAGACACTTCCAAACTTCCATTGCCTGAGGCAGCTATCTCAATCTACCTAATGTTAAGGTTGACCTTGACAATATGTCAACAAAGCCAGCTGTAACAGCAGCCTCATCTGAGCGGTCATCCAGTTTCTGTGGACAATGTGAAAGAGATGTGCTCACTGCACATTTGTATAAATGCTCCAAGGTCATTGTACTTGCAAAATTGGAATATCACATTGCCATGCAAGGCAGTGAAAGAGCATGGCAGTCGTTCCTTTGAACTGGCTATAACATTCATATCTCATAGATGGTGTGTTTAAATTTAAATGCCCAAATATTCCTTGCCGATCCAAAGGGGTATGTGTCTGTAGATAGATAAACAGAGCCTGAAGCTCTTTTCATTGGACTGAACCCTGCTCCAGATATCCAACCAATGAAGAAAATTAAATTGCAATGTGAAGAGAATGGAGAAATTCCTAGCAAAAGAAAGCAAACACTGTTGTTAGGTCGTGCGTCCCTTCTAACATCGGGCACTCCTGATAAGAGAGAGCATATATCATGTACAGACAGAGGACAGGAGAGATTGTTCTTGTTCCTGAATTCAATTAGTCTGAATGTTTGTTTTTAAGCAAGTGTGAAATTCTTCTTGTTGATTTTGCAAACAACCTATAAGGGGCAGGTTGATATCAATTTCACTGTGGCAGCAACAGGGCTGAGTGGAGGGGGGAATACTTTGGGGAAATGCTGGGCGAAGCAAGATTTTGAATGTTAGAGGAACAGCTGTGTCATTTCTGTTTCTTTAGGAACATTTCCATTGGCCAAAGAAAATATCTTCCTGGTTTTGTTCTTCTTCCACCCCACTGTTTTTCCCTCTTCTTCCCCACAGATTCCAGCACTCCTGGAATTTAATTTAATTTTTATCCAGAACCTAAAGGTCTTCATTTCTGCAGTTCTTGACCTTTCTACTAACTGGTGTGGTGACCTTTACAATGTTTGGCTCCTGGGAGATCTGCCCATGCCACATTTGCCACAGAGACTTGGCACTGTGCTGACCTCAGACCACTAATTCTTGGGGACTGAATCCTCCCATGAAAGCAGCTCTGAGGAGATGGATCAGTTCCATGGTCTGTCCCATGAGGAGACATGAGCACCAGAGCCTGAATCTCCTCCCCTGAACCCCACGGATACACCTCTGCTGCTGAATGGTCCACAGATTCCTCAGAGAACCAAGTGAGCCCTTGAGGATGTATCCCCACTCCTTGAAACCCCAGAGCCTAGAAGAAGCCAACAGCTGCAGAGGAAGTCACTGACCAGATTCAGTATTTAGGAGGTGGGGCCTCTGCTCTATGAATTCCTACCCCAGGCTATAAAGATCTGCCAGTTGCTCCAGGACGCTGCTGAGATAACTGGTATGTTCTGCCTCATGGGGCAGGATAACTAACTCTGGTCCTGTGACCAACACCCTGGTCCCTGTCCAGGGTGCTGATCCTCACCTTGCCTTCCTGGATCTACTGACCTCCCTCTTGCTTGGGCCATCACCCTTCCTGTGTGATCAGCATCTTCACCAGGACAGGCACGTTGCTGAGAATTCTGGAGCACAGCTGTAATTTACCTGCAGAACTAGCCAAGTGCATCAAGCATTCATTGTTATTGCTCTTAAATTGGGTGCAACCCAGAACACACCCAGCATTCTCTGGCAGCTGCACATTATGGGGGACGGGACTGATAGTGGTAAGCAAGCTTGCCTTTCAGAGAAGCTTGTTTCCCATTACTGATCTGCTCATGGAGAATCCCTAATAAGCTTTCAAAGAACCCTAACATTCTCCGGAGCACTTTGAGAATCACTAAACTAGGGGAGTGACTACTGAAGAACAATAGTATTCCCCCCACCAGCAACAGACATCTGAGTTCAATGGATTATCCACCCAACACCCTTGACAATTGTCCCAGCCCACACTATTAGTTTAGTTCCCAGGATCATATTTGGGAATCAGTAAGGGGGAACCAAGGTGGTCATCTTGTGTGAGAGCTGTACCACTTTTTTTTGCAGGGACTGACACTACTGAGTGCTCTGTTACTCAACAAAAACAAAGCACATATGTGAAGGACAAGACTCTTGGCCTAGCCTTCGTTCTGACATGCTGGTTTTCTATGTGTAGGAATCTCCCCTCCCCCCTTGTAGTGGCTAGGAGGGAGGTGACAGTTCCATCCCATGACCTACAGTCCAAAGTGGAACGGCCCCGACACAAGTTTACCACTTCAGTAAGATCTAGGCCTTAGACTAAAGGACTTCTCAACGAGATTTTTCAGACTCTGGGGGAGCACAGGCTGGAAACAAATTCTCTCCTGCAAGGAATCCTGCCAACAAAGGCACCTTGTAAGCACCAGGTGCAAAAAGCCCAAGGTAATTGTCTCTAATTGTGAGCTTCTTGTTAACGCTATAGTTAGCTCAGCCAGAGTTGCTCACAGCATCCTTTCATGTCAATGGGAGTTACATGCATGAATTGCGTGGAGAATGGGGCCATTTACGCTACACTCCCTTGATGCACACCGTATTGAGCTCGTATGCTGGGAGGTGGTTGTTTTTAAACAATATCCAACATTTGCATGTGTTAAAATGTGGCATTAAGAGTTTTCTTTCTGCAAGTTGTTAGAAGTCCAATTAGATTTCTACAGAGCTGTACCTCCTTGGAGATAATTTCCTATTATCAGAGGAAGATGCATACGATGAAATATTGGTTTTCATATGCAAATTATCTCACCTACTTCCCACCCACCACCCTTTTTACTGCTTTGGGACTAAATGCTTTTGCAAACCTAGATGTTTCCACTAGAAAAGTTTGGTGTGATGGACTTTATTTAATTCCTGTGCAGCCTTTCAGTCCAAATGGATCTCCGAGGTAATATGCATAAAATAGCATTAAATCGGATTGGGACGCAGGTGGTGCTGTGGCTTAACCACTGAGCCTCTTGGACTTGCCGATCGGAAGGTTGGTGGTTTGAATCCCCATGACGGGGTGAGGTCCCATTGCTCGGTCCCTGCTCCTGCCAACCTAGCAGTTCGAAAGCACGTCAAAGTGCAAGTAGATAAATAGGTACCGCTCCGGCGGCAAGGTAAACGGTGTTTCCGTGCACTGCTCCCCAGAGTCACCCGAGACTGGAGTTAATGGTCAGGGGTCCCTTTACCCTTACCTAGCATTAAATCTTACAGTGGTACCTCGGGTTACAGATGCTTCAGGTTACAGACGCTTCAGGTTACAGACTTCGCTAACCCAGGAATAGTACCTCGGATTAAGAACTTTGTTTCAGGATGAGAACAGAAATCGCACGGCAGCCACAGGAGGCCCCATTAGCTAAAGTGGTACCTCAGGTTAAGAACAGTTTCAGGATAAGAACGGACCTCCAGGATGAATTAAGTTCTTAACCCGAGGTACCACTGTATTTAAAATAAGCAATAAAAATAAAACCCCAATAATATTTTTTTAAAAATAAAATATGCCCATAATAGAGAGCACACAAATGTCAGGGTTAAAATAGCAGCATTTAATCCTGAAAGCTTTACAGAATAAATGTGTTCAACCAGCTTCCTAAAAGCTAGGAGAAAGGTAACTTGGCGTTTCAAAGAGCCTTGCTGAAAGAGCCACAACTGAAAAGGTCCTGGTTGCTTTTAAAGCCCCAAAGGCGCTTACAAGGGAAGACCAGTGAACTTTAGTGACAGGCAGACCAATCCTGTGGGTCCTGGTATAGTTGAAAAGAGTAGTACAATGAGGCACACAACAGATGAGAATGAGAGATGGATCCCATCTCTGGATGATGGAAATACTGTAGTCCCAATAAAAGCAAAGCCTACCTTGTGGGTGTAACTGAGGACAATAATAACCTGAGATGAAGATAGAGGACTAGGACCCAGATCACTCACTCTGAAAGGTGATACCAAACCATGAGAACAGCCAAAAGAGAGTCTCATGTGTGGGGCTTTTGAAGCCCATGTCAGTTCAAGGTAAAAATTCCAGCCAGGCCAAAAAAACAACAACACTTGAGGAGGGTGCAGAGCAGGACTAGTAAGGGATGAAGCCTAGGAGCCTAGGAGGAGTCCTGAAAGGCAGATAGAGGTGTCTGGACCCCTATCTGAGGTTCCACATATCTGCAATGATCCATTGTGGAGGCTACCAAAGCATGAAGTACAGCAGTCAAGTCACCTCAGACTAGGATGGACCATAGTTGCCAAACCAGCTATAGCTGGAAATAGACCACCAAGGTTACATGTGATCCATGAGTACCCCAAATTACACAACTGTTCCTTCCTCACCCTTTCCCAGAATTAGGATCTCAGAACACCTAACACCTCTGTCTTGTTCTGATTCAGTTTCCCATTTTGGGGCCTACCTCCAGCCTGTTACTGCCTCCAGACAATATCCTGTCTTCAGGAACATCTACCAAAATCCAAAGTTCACACTGTTGAGACAGTTACTGCTCAAAGCTATTGGCCAAAGCATAGGCAACTGCTGCCGCCCAGTGCCACCTATATCTGGTTGTTGTTTTTGACTCCTTTCCCACCAACAGTATTCCATTGCTGAATGTGCTTTCCTGTGTTAGACTGCTGCAGACACAGGGCCAATGAGAAACAGCAAGTGTGCCCCTGTGTCAGGGACCATGCTGAGGAGGACTGCACTGAGGAGGAATGGTGGGAGCCTCCCCCTCTCCCTGAATCTTTCCAGGAGCAGGAGGACAGTATATATTTGGAACAGTGGTTTGCAGAGGGACATAGTTCAGAAGGCAGAAGCTGGGAAATACTGGATGGGGAACAGCTAGGAGGGGGGGGAAACAGGAAGAGAGAGGGTTAACAGATTCACAGTCTCTGGACAGCATTCCCCCCCCTTTCTCCAAAGTCACAGAGAGCTCAGAAACTGGCAGAACAGAAAGCCCAGAGGGTTCAAGCTCAGATTATAAAACATAGAAGTGATGTAGATTAATAGGGACAGAAGGGGGTGGTGTCCTTAATTGGGAGCACTGCCATTCTGGGAGATGTGTTCGCTGCGATTATTAAAGTTTCTAACTGGTAAGAAGACTCCTTTCCCTTTATTCTGCTTATCTACTAACATGGGGGAGGAAGCTGATACCCTGAAACCTGGCACCCCATGTACCAGGCCTGCTGCCCTCAATCAGACTCTGAGTAAGCTGCTACCAGCTTTTAACTATTCCATTTTAAAAACTCACCTGACTGTTCCATACTGAAATGCATGCCACATCATTTAGCATTGTTTTAATATCTGGGGACATGCTGCAAGATCTTAGATACCCACTTTTGGTGCCTCTGCCCAGATTGCGCCCGAGGAAGATGCCCCGGTAACCTTACCCTATTCTTGTTATCACTTCTAGGGCTGAATTGTGGTTGTTAACCTCATTTCACTACTAATAAAAACAGAGGGAGGGGGAAGGAGGAGGAGAGAGAGGGGAGGAAGGAGTAAAAAGTTGTGTTTAATTCGTCTACCAATGCCCCACTGAAGGCAATATCACAGATATTAGCCAAGAGCTTCGGCATAGCAGGGTGAGCTCAGGACAAACCAAGAGACTCGATTTGCAAGTTCCTGGATTTTGTCAGCTTGAGTTACAATATTTAGGGAAGACTCAGACACACACTCACATAAGTGTAAAGCGGAAGGAAGGAAGAGAACAGGCAGGCAGAAGAAGTGCCACTGGTCATATCACCTCAGGCTGCGATCTTGTCAGCTCTCATAAGTTAAGAAGGGTCAGCCCAGGTCAGTTCATGGATGAGAGGGTGCCCGTGATTCTCATCTGTTCAACCCAGACTCAGAGCGAAGAGTACTGCAGCCTTCCTGGACGGGACAGGATGCAGCTTTCAGTGAATGTAGAGCCAGCTGCATTTGGGGGAGAGTCTAGAAAAAACGCCCTCCATAAGCCCCTTTCACTTGGAAAAGGGGTTTGCGTACAAACTAGTCATTCTCCCACCAGCTTTCTTGGGACCTCAGGCAAAGATTATTCCATAAGTATCCATAGGACTGCAGCCTTATAATTCTTATGTCTGCTTTTCAAAGGCATCCCCACACACTCCAACATTTCTCCAATGAAAATTATTTATTTATTTATTTATTTATTTATTTATTTATTTATATTATTAATTGAATTTATACACCACCCTATACCCAGAGGTCTCAGGGCGATTCACAGAAAAGATCACAACATATATAATCAGAATAAAAACAACAACCTAATAACACACACACACACCAAAAAAGAGCCACATTTTAAAAGGGTATAGAATGTCAAACAGATCAACCAAAGGCCTTAAAAAAGAATGTTTTCGCCTGGCACCTAAAGGTGTGTAATGAAGGCACCGGGCAAACTTCCCTGGGGAGACCATCCCACAGACGGGGAGCCACTGCAGAGAAGGCCCGTTCTCATGTTGCCACCCTCTGGACCTCTCGAGGAGGAGGCGCGTGAAGAAGGGCCTCAGAAGATGATCTCATGGTCCAGGTAGGTTCATATGGAAAGAGGCAGTCCTTGAGGTATTGCGATACAGGGATATCCTACTCAATAATAATATTATTTATACCCCGCCCTTCTGAACGGGTTGCCCCAAACACTCTGGGCGGCTTCCAACATATATAAAAACATAATAAAACGTGAAACTTTTTTTTTTAAAAAAAAACAAACAACTTCCCTATACAGGGCTGCCTTCGTGTCTTCTATAGGTTATATAGTTATTCATCTCCTTTCGCTTGGGGGCCACAGAACTCCATACCCTCCCACATTTCTCTGACAAAAATAGCGATGTTCCACTGGATTGACTTTGGCACTATTGGCCTCGCAGTAGCAGAAAGCCTTCCACTCATGCAAGGCAGGGCACCTACAAGAATGTTCCATATCATATCTTATACTGTTCTGGAGGGCTGCCACCCCCATCTTGAATCCTTTGAAGAAACCTTTTGGGGACTTGAGCTTGTTTGGAGGTTCTAGCAGGGAAGCGCAGCTATCGTATATGTCCGGGCCTCGGACATAAGGTTACCAGGTTAATGAACTAGATGGATGGGATAGAAAGGACTGACAAAACCCGTGACCAGGAGGAAGAGACGCTGGATGAAGATTGGAGAAAGTTTCAAAAATTCTATTTAGGAATGTTTTCTAAAATTAATGAGTATTAAAAAGATGTTGGAACGAAATTATTTGGCTTTAGCAGAAATGTTAAAAGAACTATGCAAGAATATGTCATGGTTATGAGAAATTGGTATAGATAAGACTCAAGCTTTAAGTTTTAGGGTTTTTTATAGTAAGATAAGGTTAAAATAGATTAAGGTAATTTAATATCATGAAAAATGGGAAGATTTGCTGTGATAATCAATAACTAGAATACAAAAAAGGGAGGTGTGAGGAGGTCCATGAAACAAGTTAATGAAAGATAAAGATTTGGGAATATTGGATTTGTTTTTAAATTTTTTGTTTATTTTTGCTTTTTGATTTTGATGTATTTGTGTGATTTGTTTTTTTCTTTGTTTATTGACTTGTATTGTTTAATTTCTCTTTTTGTCTACTTTTTTCTTTGTTTCTTTGTAATCTTAAAATCCTCAATAAATATTATTTTTTATTATTTTTTCCTCTGTCGTCCCCTTCTCCTTGTGCCCTCCATCTTTCCCAACATCAGGGTCTTTCCCATGGAGTCTTCTCTTCTCATGAGGTGGCCAAAGTATTGGAGCCTCAGCTTCAGGATCTGTCCTTCCAGTGAGCACTCAGGGCTGATTTCCTTAAGAACGGATACGTTTGATCTTCTTGCAGTCCATGGGACTCTGAAGAGTCTCCTCCAGCACCATAATTCAAAAGCATCAATTCTTCAGCGATCAGCCTTCTCTATGGTCCAGCTTTCACTTCCATACATCACTACTGGGAAAACCATAGCTTTTACTATACGGACCTTTGTTGGCAAAAAAATAATATAGTGTTGCCAAAAATGACTGCAGGAGCTAGAGATGGTTGGCAAAGCTATATAGAGCCTTGGCTAGTCTCCTGTGATGAACAGGAGTTGCCTCAAGACGACCAGGCAGGAAAGCTTCTGTAAAATTTGTTCCTTTCAAACAATCAAGGTGACTTAAAAAAAAAAAACTTAACAAAGTGATATGTGGGTGAGTAAAAACATGGCTTATAATTTTTGTGCTCATTAATATGGCTGAGTTAGTGGGAAGGTTTGGCTTGAAACACAGGGAAATAGAGACAGCTCATCAGATAAAGCGGGGGAAAGCGGATTTTAGTAAGATTATGAATGAACAGAGGAGGCAATGTTGAGAGAGGGCAGATATATTATCAAGTCATTAGTAAAACAGAATATTATAGTGCGCTTTATCTTGTGTGGTTTTAAGAGATCATTAACATCAAGGGCTTGTCTGTGTTTCTGCACGACACAGAACCTACCATTCTAACACAATGAAAGCATGAAAAAATATTATGGAGACTGCACACAACCATCCTGCTTAATGACTACATAATACATGTTTAGTGCCAATAAACATCATGAAGAGTATTAGTTGCTGAGTCTGGCCTTGCCACTGTTTTTCTAACATTAATAACTCAGCTGTTTTGGATATTTTTTTTTTAATGCTAAAAGCAGCATGTCTGCATTATTGACTATGGAATACAGGATTTCATTAAGCAAACAACACAGCCCATTTCAATTGAGGGATTGATTTCCAGAGGAGAGAGAGCATCTGGAAGTGGCCTGCCGACAGTTCCTATTCCTCCCTCTGTAATAGAAATTGCCAACTGATTTAAATTAGGTTTCTCCACATTCACTCCTGGGCTGTGAACTTGGAGCGCAAGTTAATAAGTCCAGAGCAGACAAAAGGATGTGCATCACCTCCTCAAAGACAAGGAGGGGAACGCAGCAGGAAAATCTGACGCAATTTTGGACAGCGTTGGACAAGGGTGGCTTCAAGCATTCTGCTCTCAAACTGAGGTGAGGTTGCCAATTCTTCTTTACCAGCTTCTGTTTCGGGTCTTAGCAGGCCTTGGCAGGTGAAAGTGCCTATCGTCATGCCCTGACGTGCTCCCTTCAGCTGCTGATTTCTGGACCTCAGCATGATCTGAAAAGCACAGGAGCAGGCCAGCTATTTTTCCCCTCATCAATTGGCAACCCTACATGGAAAGCAGCAATGATCAATTCCATATACTAGCGTGCCATCAGGGGGCTACACTTTGTATGTCACAATTCTGAGGGAATGAAAAAAGAGGCACAGAATTTGGGACTTGTCTGATACTGAAGCAGCCAAACAGAGGTTTCCAGGCTAGCCCCCATGCCATGGAAGGAACCATGAGGAGGAGAGAAAGTTGGGGACAGGGAATAAGAGGAAGACTTGGGAGGTGTGTTCAACGGGTCCCATGGGTGGTATAGAATTCCACATATCACCCATGGGTGATCTAGAAGCCCAGAATGCCAAACTATAATAATGTCTAAGGAAAGCAGGGGTGTAGCAACACCACCAGTGCCTGGGGCAGAGCTTTTTTTAAGAGACCAAAGTTGTTGAGCTTTTTTGGGCAGTTTCCAACATAATAAAACATTAGACATTAAAAACTTCTCTCCACATGTCTTCTAAAGGTTGTATAGTTACATATCTCCTTGGCTCAGGAGTCACAGAACTCCGTAGCCCCCCCCCCAATTTCTCCGATAAAAATAGGGACAGCTTTTCAATACCCTCCAATGTTTCTCCAATGAAAATAGATACGTCTCCTCCAACATTTCTCTGATGAAAATAAGGGAAAATCCTAAGGAAAAGCAGAACTTTCCAGGATCAAATCAGAAATTGGGACAGCTTCTGTGAATCCGGGGCTGTCCCTGGAAAATACGGACCCTCAGTGGGCCTGGTTTCCTATGTTCCTATGTGCTGGTTGGATGACCCATAGCTTCCCCCATCTAAAGAGGTCTCTCCTGTGATGTATTGTATAACTAACAAGCACGGCTAGCTTAATTTTTCTGTTTCCCAAAGGACCACAACAAAAACGGCTTTCCTACCATGGCACACAGTTCCTTTTGTGCAGGTGAGTGCAGGTCGGGAGTTCTAATTATGTAGGGTGTTTGTCCCGCGTAGGTTTTTCATTCATGTTGAAAATATTCTCTTAAGCATGAGTAATAAGAAAAAGACAGCCCAACATCTCTGGGGTTTCCCCCCACCTTGTTGCTATAATCTTAACCTTTCCCGTTGCAGCAAAATGTTTGCTAACATGTTTGATCAAGCGCCTGTTAAAGAGAAATATTGTGCTGTTGGTGCCAACCAGACCACCTCGACTTGGGTGTCACTGTAATTATTGTCAAGCATTATTGTTGCAAGGGTGTACAGAGCACATAGATCTTTCTTTTAATATGGAGCTGGCCAATTTAATGGAACATTAGTAATGCAGCCAGCACAGAGTCTGCTAACAAAACTTTACGTTACTGCTGGATGAATTACACTATACCTCTTGAATGTCTAGCAGCTGGCAAGAGGCCAGAATCTTTTACATCTGAAAATGGAGCTTGTTTCTTCCTCTCTCTTCCCCCGCCCTCCCTCCCTAAAGAAAACAGAAAACAGAAGAACTGGCCTTGGTGAGCTTCATATATAGCAAAGTTTTCCAATAGGCAAGAAATGTAAAACATCAACCCTAAAATAACATTGTGTGTTATTTCATTGAGAGGTGCACTAATTCTTCCTTAGTTTTGATTTTAATGTAAAAACTAAAGCCAGCCATGTTGAAGGGATAGAAAGTTTCAACCAAAAAGCACCTAGATTGCATCTATATTCAACTTTCCTCAATCCTCTTTAAAGCCATGATTGTCTTTGGATTTGTACCATTTTTCTCAGTTGGTGCTTTGCCACCATTTCTGGATTAATCATAAGTATGATTCCCTCCACCCACAAAATTCAACATTAGGTACCATACTTTGAAAGGAGTGAAATGAAAATGTAAGTTTGCCTACAGAAAGCTGTCGTGGAGGGCAAGTGAGGGCAATGGTGAGTGGAGACAAGTGAAGGAAATATAATGAAATAAATGAATATTTTTTGTAAAGGGAAGGCACTTTTCAAACACTGCAGAAAATGCACACACACACACCCCAATGCAGTAGGTTTAGCTCTGTCTCTAATTTACTTTTACTAGCCTATAAGGATTTTACATATGAACTGGTTTCGAAAGGAATATTTTGAAACCTCAGTGACCTGAGCTTGGTTTGGAACCCAATCCAAATTCCATCATCACCTTTCACATTTGCCTAACACCCTGGCTCAGTGCACCCAGGAAAATGCAATTTCTTTTTCTTGCAGAAGTCATTATGACCCATGAGAACAAACAAAGAAAGCTGCAAAACTGAAAATGAGCAATAAAGCCAGCTAGACCACGAAATCTGCCATCTAGCAATTTCCCTCTAAAGCAGAAAAATCAGGTAAACGTGGCCTTGCTTTCCCTTCACCTTATTATTAGCTCAGTAACATTTATCACATAGGTAGTAAATCTACAAAGGTTATAGTGCATTTGCCATATAAGGCTTCAGGGAGGTTGCTTGTTGTGCTATAAATTGCAATCAACTAATCCATTCCAAATGAAAAACAACAACAACCCAATTTAATTTTTAATTTTTGTGCTCAAGGAAATTGTGGCATCTGTTGGGGGAGTGCAAAAAAAAAAAAAAAGACAACATGAAATCCTACTCATGATCCTTCTTCGCAACTCTCAAGTGGATGACTGAAAACCAATGACTTTGGGAAACCAGTGCTGTTTGGGAGCTACCAAAATCTCACTTATTCGTCAGTCTCTGCTAGGAGTTGCTGGAGTAGAAACATCACCATCTATTAAAGTGATTTTTAAACCTCATGTTACGTTATTGGAATTCCAAATTTGCTGTGGTAATAAAGTTGCATTTTAGAGCATTCAAAGCACTTGGCATACATTCTCTCACATACCGGCCAATGAGGGGCCACCATTTCCTCCCACAATGCCCCTGGAATTATGCTCTATCAGCGTCATGATACAGCATCATTTCAGGGTCAGCCTTGAGATGGGAGGTGGCAGCCACTGGGCCTAGATAGGAGCTCCACTGTTAGCACCAATTATTTAAATTTCTTATTCCCCCAACAAACAAAAAAAAAGCCCACAATGCAGCCTTCCACCTTTGTACTTCTAGACAAATTCCTATCCCACCCTTCTAGGGCTGATGTACTACCAAGGACAACTTCCATCAGTTTAACCTTTTTTCAATAGAAAAACTGACTGTTCGACTGCATTACTGCGACATGCTCCATGTGGGGCTGCCCTTAAGGCTGGCCTGGGAACTGCAGCTGGTGCAGCTTGGATGCTGTTAGGGGCAACTTACCATCAATATGTAATATAGCTGCTAAGGCAGGCTTCCTCAACCTCGGCCCTCCAGATGTTTTTGGCCTACAACTCCCACGATCCCTAGCTAGCAGGACCAGTGGTCAAGGATGATGGGAATTGTAGTCTCAAAACATCTGGAGGGCTGAGGTTGAAGCCTGTGCTAAGGGATCTGCAGTAACTACCAATTAGCTACCAGGCCAAGTTTAATGTTTTGCTGTTTATTTATTAAATTTCTATCCCTTCCTTCCTTCCTTGGGAGTTGTTGGTATACAAAGCTGTAAACAACTTAGGATCTGTTTGCCTGGAAGGCTGCCTTTTTATCCTGTTCAACCCTTTTCTTTTCTTTGAATAATTTCATTTATAAGAAGATAGTGTGAAAGAGAGAGAGAAGTTAGTGAGAAAGAGAGAGAAAGAGAGGAGGAAATACGTCATAATACAATCCTACTTGAACCTTTAGATCATCAAGCGAAGCCCTAATGTGGGTACCACATGCCCCAGGAGTCTGTTTAAGGAGTTCGCAAGGCAGAGCTTTTAGTATGGTGATATCCGTAGTATGGAACGGACTCTCCCTGGAAATTAGAATGGCACCAACAACTTACTCTTTTAAGCAGCTCCTTACTCCCCCCGCTCCCCCCAGTCTTTTCCAGGTAGCACTGCTTAATGCATTTTACTGCTTTAAACTGCATTTTGTATTTTGCTTTTTTCTTCTTCTTTACAGTATTTTTCAATATTGGTTGGTTGGTACTTTTTTTAAAAAAAAATAACAACTAAATAATCACTCCAATTAGATATTGGAGTCAAAGGCACCCCAAGGAAACCATACAATCAAAACATATACTGGTAGCTATTAAGGACGACACAATTGGTTGGTAAAAAAAAACAACGCAAGCAAACGCAAACCGTGTCTTCCAGTTTTCCAGTAAAGGCAGTCAAGTTGCAGTCAAGTCCAGTAAAGGCAGTCAAGATTGGGGTTAACCAATCTCACAGACTTTGCAACCACAACAGGCACTATCAGAGCATCCTACGCAAAGTCACCAAATTTCAGAAATGTATGGCGCCTATGGTCTGTATGGTCTATGCTTTGTCAGACTACAGTCTGGGCAGACAACATGTGGGATTCCTGGTGGAAATAGCTGGCTGGCCACTGTGGGAAGAAGGATGCTGGACTAAAGGACTATTGTTGTGCTCCAGCATGAAATCATAGAACTGTAGAGTTGGAAGGGGTCCAACCCCCTAGTCCAACCCCCTGCAATGCAGGAATCTTCTGCCCAACGTGGGACTCAAATCCACCACCCTGAGATGAAGAGTCTCTTGTTCTTCCAACTTGTTTTGTTCTATGTGGGGTGCTCCATGTTGATCATCTCCACATCAAGAAGCTAGGCATTTCAGGAAGAAAGGTTCTAAGGCAGCCTTCTCCCTGTCATGCTGGTTTTCTGTGTTTGGGGATTAATCTATTTTTATTTCTGCAGGAGCATTCATGTATGTGGGCTGGCCTTCTTCAGCCTCAGACTAGCCTAGCCAGGCCCCTTCCCCTTCGTTTCGGCCACACAAATTACTCTTGGATATTGCAGTCCTGTGTTTTAAGTCTGTCTCTTGACCCAAATTGTCTGGCATGTCACCGTAATTGTCACTTGGTCCTATTCCTGATCTCCTGTCGCAAACGCTGTGGTTTTTCAGGAACATAACGCGGAGCCCTTTCCATCTCTCAGCTGGGCCGCTGTGGCAGCAGGCATATACAAGAAGCCCGTTCCAATGTTCCAGCAAGCTCCAACGTCACACTACAGCATGACCAACAGAACACAGGGTGGGGCTAGGTAGGTAAAAAGGGAGAACTATGCATCTAAGCATAAGGTTCATTCCAAACGGCTAACATGACCAGGGCAGTTGAAGCCCCATGGTTCAATTTCCAATCAGGGTAATGACAGCAATGAGGATAAAATCTGCATTGCACCACAAACACTGGAGCCTAATTCCTAGAAATCGCATGCAGTGGGCTTCTGTGCACAAACTGCACAAACCAGGGAACCTCCAAATGCACAAACTCTCCCTAGACACACTCACACACACGCGCGCACACACACACAAACCCCATCATAATGGGCTGCATTTTGCTAGCCCTGAATAAATGGGCTTAGGAAAAGGATTCTTGCACATAAGTGTTTTGATCTTATGCTAATTTGCAGCTTGATTTTCTTTAATAGTCCCACTACCAGGGAGACAGCAGAGGAGGGGAGCAGGTCTACTGGAACGAAACTGTTAGGCATTTTCCTCTAGATTTTCCATGTCAGAGTATGACATCAGCATAACCCTTGTCCTTCCTTTTCAGTCTAGACGCTGAATGTCACTTGTTGTGTTGAATTAAGGCTCCAGCCTACACAGATGGGCCCTTCACATTCATTCAGAGTAGCAGTGTGATGTCAGATGGAACTTCATACAGGCATATATCTCTCTGAATCTGAGCAGCAGAGGCTTTTGCCAAACGTACCATGGCTCTGTTAATGCCTTTATTGATCAGGCTGGAAAGTTATCATCACACCATATAACAAATAAAAACCCATTTTTCCTTGGCAGTTCCTAGTGCTTTTCGGAGAGAGGGAAGGATCTCTCTTTCCCTGTTCTTACTTCATTCAGAATCAAGCTCAGGGCATGACAAATGCTATATTCTTCAGCATAGGCATTCCTAAATAGGAATGCAGTCTGGAACCATGCACCCATTGCTACCATCTTTGCTTGCTTGATTCCTTGTCTCTGTGGTTTCCCGAGCACCAGCCAGCAAATATATTTGGGATGGATCAAGAGAAAAGGATGTTAAGAGCTTTTCATGACCCACAATTCGCCCAAGGCAAGGAGCAAGAAGGTCTGATTTGATAATGTGGGTTTCTTCTCCCTTTTTCATATAAGCTGAATGTTGGAAGAGTCAGGACAATGGGTATTCCACAAAAAATGAAGGGTATCTTTTTATACGCAGCAAGAGTTCTTATCGTGGCAAAATGGAAGAGTATTGGAATTCCCTCTGTACATGAATGGATCCAAAAGCTGACAGAATATGCCGAATTAGATGGTCTATCAGAAAGAATAAAGAATAAATCAAAACAGGAATTTGTCTCAAAATGGGAGGTTTCCAAAGAATATTTGAAATATAAATATAGTAGTTTAAACTCTGTTGCAGCATTCGAGGAACTTCAGTAACAGTTGCAAGTTAGACATAAGAGTTAAGATATATTAAGAAAAAGTTAAATTGTGATAAAAGTGTGTATTGGCAAGAAGTAATATGAAATTGAAATAAGGAATAGATGGGAGGTCGGGTCTATAGTGTTAAGACCAACTTATGTTTTATTGTTTGTTAAGAAAAAATTGTGTTTATTGTTATTCCTGTGGGTATTTCTGTATCTGTGTTTACTTTTCTTTTTTTTTTCTTGCTGTATCAATTAAAAAAAAAAAAAGGAAAAGTTAGGACAGAAGAAACAAAGTACTTTGTCACACAGCACATAGACAAACTATGGAATTTGCTACCATAAGATATATTGATGGCCACCAACCTGAATATCATTAAAAGGGAAAGTTGAGAATGACAAGGCTACCAGTGGCTAATGGCTCTGATGGCTATGTTCTGCCTGAATTGTTGAAGGCAATATGTCTCTGAACACCAGTTGCTGGGAATCAAGTTGCTGTTGTTTGCGGGCTTCCCAGAGGCATCTAGATGGACACTGTGAGAACAGAATGCTGGACTTGGTAGATCTTTGGCTTGATGTCACAATGCTGATGTCACAAATCACTGTTTTGTCAGCTGCTACTTTCCTAGCAACCACAGTGGATATCCCATTAACATAGTTACAGCTGATTGGCTGAAGAGAAGAGGGGGAGCAAGGCAGGTTCCTCAGGAAAGGATGTGGACAAGGCAACAGACAAAAACAGAAATTGGGCAAAGCCGACTGGGAAGGGATTAATTACTGTAACAAATATGGTGCAGTTATACAACTAAGTCACGCTAGGATTCTGCTTTTCTTCCAAAATTAGGTTTTTCAATTAGCACTTCCATCTTCCCTGCCTATTGGCCATGCTGGCTGGGAGCTAGAAACATCTGGAGGACACCATATTGGCTGCCCCAATCCAAGGAATGGTGTTTCAAGTGTTTGTTTCATCCTTATCCTCTCTTATTGTGTGGGAAATAATTGGATTACAGCATGGGAAAAGAGCTGATTCAACAAAGACTGTGATCACTAAGGGTGTCCACCAACTTTTGTATCAATGAATTTTAGAATGACGTTATAAATAATATGGCTGTTGTGGTCTCGGCATCACCGTAAGTCAGCAAAAGTAACTCTGCACCTGAATCATAAAAGTATATCAGCAAACAAGGTGGAATTTCCAGTGTTTTTATATGCAGGGAGGAGAAGTATAAGCCTGAAATCTGTCTTCTTCTAGCCAGACTTAACATCACATTTCTCATCCCAGAAGAGCTTCTAACTTTATAGATACAAATTCCAGCTGAGTAGTCGTGGTTGTTGTTGTTTAGTCGTTTAGTCGTTTCCGACTCTTCGTGACCCCATGGACCAGAGCATGCCAGGCACTCCTGTCTTCCACTGCCTCCCACAGTTTGGTCAAACTCATGCTGGTAGCTTCGAGAACACTGTCCAACCATCTTGTCCTCTGTCGTCCCCTTTTCCTTGTGTCTTCAATGTTTCCCAACATCAGGGTCTTTTCCAGGGAGTCTTGTCTTCTCATGAGGTGACCAAAATATTGGAGCCTCAGCTTCAGGATCTGTAGTCAAGGTAAAGGTAAAGGGTAAAGGGACCCCTGACCATTATGTCCAGTCATGACCGACTCTGGGGTTGCGGCGCTCATCTCGCTTTATTGGCTGAGGGAGCTGGCGTACAGCTTCCGGGTCATGTGGCTAGCATGACTAAGCCACTTCTGGCGAACCAGAGCAGTGCACGGAAACGCCATTTACCTTCCCGCTGGAGCAGTGCTTATTTATCTACTTGCACTTTGAGTTGCTTTCGAACTGCTAGGTTGGCAGGAGCAGGGACCGAGCAATGGGAGCTCACCCTGTTGCGGGGATTTGAACCGCCGACCTTCTGATCAGCAAGTCCTAGGCTCTGTGGTTTAACCCACAGCGCCACCCGCGTCCCGCAGTCAAGGTAGGCCTGGCCAAAAGTACTTCTCCCTGTGCTGCCAACGGAGAGGCATGCCCACTTTCTCTACACTGGGGGTGTGGCTCTGCAGATGTTGCTGGACTACAACTCCCACCACCATTGGGACCTTTGGCCCTGCTGGGTAGGGTTTGATGGGAGTTGGAGTCCAACAGCAGCAGAGGGACCACAGGTTCCCCATCCCCACCATGGAGATGCCCAATCACATGGTTCCCCAATTTGTACTACCCTTCCCCTTTGTATAAAGGAGAAGAAAGGCATGAACTGGGCAACCATGTGCAGTGCCCTGCCCTGTTAAAGATATCAACTCTAACAAGCCCTCCTAATCACACATGGTATTATCTGGATGGTAGAAAGGAGGGATCAGACCCAGTCATCTACCACCCAAAGACCCTTATTGCCCAGGTAAAGTCAAGGGCTGGTTGGATGCAGAGGAATGGTGGAAGGAACCAGCATAGGTGACCACTCTATTTATAGGGTGAAGGTAAAGGTAAAGGGACCCCTGACCATTGGGTCCAGTCGTGGACGACTCTGGAGTTGCAGCGCTCATCTCGCTTTACTGGCTGAGGGAGCCGGCGTACAGCTTCCGGGTCATGTGGCCAGCATGACTAAGCCACTTCTGGCGAACCAGAGCAGCGCAAAGAAACACCGTTTACCTTCCCGCCAGAGTGGTACCTATTTATCTACTTGCACAGCGTGCTTTAGGACTGCTAGGTGGGCAGGAGCTGGGACCGAACAACAGGAGCTCACCCCGTCGCGAGGATTCGAGCCACTAGGCTCAGTGGTTTAGACCACAGCGTCACCCGCGTCCATTTATAGGATAGATGCGCCCAATTTATAGGATAGATGTGCCCTATTTATAAAACAAGAAGCTAGACAAACCCATTATGGAGCTTATAAAGACCTTAAGTTGTATAACCTTTTCTTTAAAAAAGCAAGCAAACAAACAAGATGACTGTTGCTTACATAATTATTAGTGGTCTAATTTTTATTATTCCACTTTCTTTCTTTTTTTTTTAATAATATTTATTAAAAGTTTAAAGATTACAGAAAAAGGAAAGAAAGACATAAAGAAATAAACAATACAAATCAATACATTGCTATACATAAAAAAAACAGAAAACAAAAGATACACTACATCAAAACAAAAGCAAAAGCAAAAACAATTAAAAACACATCCAATATTTCCATATCTTTGTCTTTCATTAACTTAAATTATTCCACTTTCTTCCACCTCCCTTCTTGGGATTTTTAAAAAAATTGTGTGGTGGGATATAAACCTGCCTTTTTCCAGTAAGTGTTCTTGCAAGGTCATGAAAATTATCCCAGATGCAGAATATCTATGAGGCACCGTGCCAGAATGCTTGCATTCAGCAAAATTGCAGATGTAATGTCTGTAAACAAGGCTGACTCCAAACGTCTAAACAACACATGTGATAGATGCCTTATAAATACTTAAGCAAAATTGAAATAACACTGGTTAGAATCTAGATCATTTCCTATAATATGTGGATTTGAGAAGTGTCTCCCCAATGCTCAGTGTAGCTCTTGCCTGAATTCGTAAAATCACCTACAAGGAAGACCATTCGGAGTAGAAATCAGGGTTGGGGGTGGGGAGTCTGGCTGATATTTTTTTATGAGGAGAGTTGCCTTGCTGAGTTTAGCCCTGAAAAGCAGCATACAAATATACTTATTTATAGAAATATTTATATACCACTATATTATAAAAACATCATAGTTTGCAATAATATTCCTATACCTTGCACCTTTTGAAATATCACAGCCAGGGAAGCAAGTGGCCTTGGTTGCAATTATGGGGGGCAAGCTAATTTTCAGTATCAGAAGAGAATTAACAATTTCCTCCCTGTTGTTGTCTTGAAGAAAAATGTTCCTTTGAAGCTGCCATTTGCCTTGGGAGGAAATCCCCCATTCATGTCTCCCATGGCGCTCCAGATGCTTTGCACCTCACAAAATAGGCTGGTGGATCTCAGAGATCTAGTAAAACAGCAACCTAAAGTAGATCCTGCAAACTGGAAGTCAGCCCATCTGGTCTCTGTACTCCTCTCTGCTTGCTTCCCAGTTTGATGAAGCTGACTCAGAGGAGAACTCTTGTGGCCTCTCTGCTTGAGCAGGTCTCCCTGGACACAGCACCTCAATCACCCATCCGCTCGAACCAGGACCTTGGCAGGCTGAGCAGAGAGCTTGTTTGAGCAGCAACCATCATCATCATCATCATTTTTAATTTGTATACCGCCTTTCTATCTTACAATATTCAAGGCGGTTTACAAGCTGAAGAAACAAAAAATGTACATCTTATAACAATCTAATGCAATACAAAAATGTGATAATAAAACTTAACTTTAAAATAGGCAACCTCCATCAAAAAAGTAGCATTCAACAATCATTAGAATAGTATAAAATAATAATCAACATATAAAAGTTAAACAGAAATCCACTCAACAGTTACAATAATATCTAAACTATAATCAATAAAACAACAGCAAGCCACAGTACAAAAACAATACAATACACATTGAGAAGCAGAGGGTAGAGCAAGGCAGGTGGAAGGAGGCCTTGCCTGATGGAGTCTCTCCCCTCAAGTTCTTCCTCCAGGCACAGCTTCCTTATGAGGAGACCCAGGGCCGGAGGGTGGGGCAAGGCAGGTGGAAGGAGGCCTTGCCTGATGGAGTCTCTCCCCTCACCCTGCATTCAGAGCAAGCTCCTACAGACCCTCTGCTGGAATGAGATGCTTTCTTGATGAAGCAGAGATGCAACTACGGTGGCTGTTCCCAAATACAGAGCCAGGAAGTAGTGGTGAGAGGGAAGAGGGAGAGAAATGGGTGGAAGCTCTTTGCCATGTTCCTTGCTACTCTCCATTTTTTTCTGCTGCTCCACATCAAATTTCTAACCATGATGCTAAAATAACCACCATACTAACCTTGCTTTGAACGAACGTGGCTCGAAGTTGCAAAAAACAGAAGAGCAGAAACTCCAGAGTCCAAATACAGTCAGATGGTTGATTTCACAGATGCCTTCAGGGTTCCTGAACACATATGGGAGAAGGGATTGCTAAACACACACACCTCTTGACCACTGTCACCGCCATCAAAAGGCTCCTGGGATTCATCAAGGTAGGCTGCAGATGGTCTGGAGGGGGAAATGGATTTTTCAACATTACGCCTGAAGAGTGTGTTTTCAAAGCTTTGGAAACTAAAGAAACGCTCCGACATTCTGTCCTTTGTTTCCCCCGTTGGGCCTGTACGATGGGCCATCTCTGAACAGTGGGTGATCATCAAACCATATGTGCCACAATGCTTAGGTAAAACGAAGGACAGTGTCAGACTACAAGCAAGGAAATAAATTAAACTGACAATACCATCTGGAAAAGTCTTCACAGAAACATTGCCTTCTGCTTATTCCCTTTTCTTGGCCTTTTTCATTTCACAGTCTAATCTTTCGTCGATCCCTTTAGAATAGGGCTGAGGATCCTGTAGCCCTGCAGATGTTTCTGGACCCTATCAGCCCCAGCCAGCAGGGTTCATTGTTGTTGTTGT